TATCTGTTCAGTCCAGTACCCTCAAACCTTGATATAATAAGATCTCCAAGATACCAGAGATCCAATCACTAGAGAACAACTTGCAATCCACAAGGACCACAAAACAGCTTGCAACCATAAACCAGGCACATTTTACAGCACCCAATACAATTTACTAATAGAAGGATTGCAGTCATTGGTAGACGCCATAAAAGTGGCACAATGTTACAGAAAAAACTTGCAGAAAGCAGATGCAGAAGCATGGACCACACAGAACTGCAAGTGATAGTTAATACTTGTTGTTGATTTCAGAGATAAGCATTCTTACTGTTAGTGGCCCGGAAAGCTATCTTTAAAGGGAAGCACACTCCTAAGATTGATTGCTTTTCTAGTCAGTAAGAAGAAGAAGAAGAAGACCTGATTGTCTTAGTAGAAAGGTAATAGACAATATATTACTTCTCTCAGGGTTCCAAAGCTCCACTCTCATTGAAGAAACTGCAAATGTATCACATGAGATTGGCTCAGGATATTCTCTAATTCTATACTCACGTTAAAAGACATGAATTAAGAATTTGAGTGATTGCTGTGGCGGATATCTATCTTGCTGTTTAAGCTTTCTTTCTCGCAATGAGATCCCTTGCTGCATAGAAAATCTATGATGAAAAGAACTGAGCTTTAGCACTTAATTCTGAACCAATACATACATATAAGTTCAAGTGTTTAAAGGAAACTGCACGGCACATGTTGGGACCTCACGATTTATAATCAGAGAGTTTGCTTTTCATTCTTGCTTGGTTTTAATCAACCTCAAGCAAATAACTGTTTCAGCAATCCGCAGCTGCGGATGCCAATCATCTATATCCAATTTGTGGGCAAGGCTTGAAAATAGAGACACTAGTTCAACCTATGTTTAGAGTTGTTCTTTACGTAAATACACATGCAAGAACATTAAAGGAGCTAAAAGAATCCAACTGATTCAATTCATAGTCACATTTCCCCTCTCCTACATTACTAAACTTTATCAGGAGCAATTTCGGGACTAATATGCAGGAAATCAAGATCAGAGTGCAAAGAAGACCCAACCAATCCAGCATCATACCTGCAGGCATAATTCAGACAAGTATCCATTGGCAGCATCTAAAATCAAACAATTGTTGGCGATGTTCAATGGAACAGTAATTTACCACAGTGAATACCAACAAGCAACTTGATTAAGCATGGAGATATCAACTCGAGCAATTAAACATAAGATGTGTCTGAAGAAGATGAAGACATGCTATATATACCCTGACGATCCCACCATCCCTTTCCAGAGTTGGCAGATTATTATCTGCATACCCTAAAAAACTCGCCTTTTTGACAAAGAGCAAGTGATGAAAGCCCTAACCTTCGTTGCGTTCCTTGCCGTCTCCTGATCTCGATGGCTTCGAAGTCGAGCTACTATCCTGGTGGTGGTTGACCTTCGCCAGCCCGCGGAACCCCCCCTTTCCGGCCTCTGCTGCCTTGGGTTTAGTCTCCACGTAGGTGGCCGAACTCATCTCCATCTGCGCTACCCTGACCGCACCCAGGAGACGCTCCGGCAGCTCCTCCTCCGCTTGCGCCTCCACCAGGAACCCCATGTCGATTGTGACCGCCGTCACGCAGCCGAGGGCGAGGTGGAGGATGGCGTTGGCGAGGGCGGAGCTCCCGATGTCAACGTCGATCTCGAGGTAGTCCTCACCGAGGAGGTATTTGCAGGTGAGCGCCTTCCCCAGGAGGCAGGCAGCGTGGTTCCCGACGGCGGCCCGCACGATCCAAGGTCCCTTCACGATCCGGTTGACGATTTTGAATCGCGCATTCCGGAAGGCGTCGTCGCCGTGGACGAAGCGGTAGAAGAGGGAGCCCGGCGGGATTGGCTCCTCGGCGGCGAAGTAGAAAACGGCGGAGTGGCACTCACGGCCAGGAACCTGGAGATTGACGGCGAAGATAAAGGCCTTACGGGCGACGCCGAGAGCGCGGGCGCGTCGGAGGGCGCCGGCCACGCGGTTGTCCGGGCGGCCGAGGACGTTGTCAAGGCGGGAGGTGGAGCGGAGCCAGTCGACGCCGGCGGGCCTGAGGAGCCACTCGCCGGAGGGGCACTTCTGCCGGCGGGAAAAGTAGTTGGGGCCACGGAGGTGAAAGAGGTCACCGGGAGGGGAGGCCCAGCCGTTGGTGCCCGTGTGGAGATCAACGTGGCGAAGGGAGCCGCCCTCGATCGCGTCCCGTCGCCAGTCGTAGTAGGGGTCCTGCGCGGCCCCGACGGGCTCCGCAGGCAGTGCTCCTTGTCCTCCTCCTCCTCCTCCGGCGGCCTCGGTGGCTGTCTCGGCCGGCTTCTCCGTCGTCGGGCTCATCTCCTCCGACGAATCCTCCTCTCTCGCACTAAATGGCAATCAAATCCACGGGCGATGCAGGGGAGGAGAGACGGCGGACATATTGACACCGAAGATCATAAAATTACGAAAATGCCATTGCCAGCACGGCAAGCTGGACTCTGTATGAGTCTGGATAGTGGAACCCGCGGCGGAGTATTACTGGCATGACGTGTGTGACAATAAAGAAGAAGAGACACGAGGAGTAAATAGAGAAGCAGTGGATCAGCTGTCGAGTGGAGTGCAAGGTCGTACATCTCGGCCCACCAAATCTCTTTAAAATTGTGCTAGAATACCACGCGACGTGGTCCGTTGGTTTGTCGACACGTGATTAGATGGAGCAGGTGAACTCCTTCCTCGCATCGATCACCGAGCCATTTCTTTCCATCTTCTATTCGAACCTAACAAATCAGAAGGTAATGAACGGCACATTATGAGATAATATTACTTTTCCACCTCAGTCGCTCAACGTAGACCCCACAAAAAAAAAAAAAAAATCGTTTTTACCTTTTTTTTGTTTTTTCGCCACGTACTATCCTTTTTATTTCATACACAAAGAATATTTTTTAAAATATAATTATTCATATAATTCATGAAGAATCTAACCTGAAACTTGAGGTCATTAACAACAGACTCAAAAAGCAAAGACGAAGAACATAAGTATAGTTTTATCGAGAAGAATGCACGATATACCATATACCATATCGGAGAGGAGAAAGAGAAAATCCATAATCTCCTTTGCCTCAATGATAAAAAAAAAAATATAATAATGACGAAGAAGGTCGATGGCATGATCATATGGAGATAGAGATAAGGCCTGATGACAAGATTGATGAGATGAAGATTAGGATAATTTTTTTTTTATAAAATAAAAAAACTTAACATAAATAAAAACAAAAAAAAATTCTCTACCGAAACAAATGGAAACTTGATTTTTTTTTTTTAAATAATATTTGGCCACATAAGAATCATGAAGAATTCAGCAAATTATCTCCTTCGAATCATTGGTAAGGGGGTGGGATGCGGAAAGGTCCAAAGATCACGTGTCGGATCAATGTGGATGGTTTAATTTGGAATGCAGTGCGACGCGATCGTCAAGAGTGGGATGTTTGCGGACTGAAGCGAGGCGAAGGCACCGAGACAAATGGAAATGGGAAGCAGCGGACAACAAGTAGGTGGAAGATTGGTATCATCTCTATCTGACGTGTGGTGAGTAGCATATTCACGTTAGTTAGACATTAGATTTATTCATGTCATCGCCACGCACCCGATGGTCTCTATGTTTCCAGTAAGTTCCTCGACAAATTAAAATCCGGAATTGCTTGACCATTTATATTTGGCCCATGGGCTTGGCTGGGTTTCCAACTAAACAATGTTCAGACCCTAATCTTTTAGCCCATTTAAGTAAGGCTCATCAGAGCTGACGACGGCACACACACTATTGGATAGATATCCTACATCAAGTCAATTGGAATTCCTAAATTGTAACAATGTGAAATTATAAAAAATGAATCGGAAAATTAGATAGATATTTCTGGTATCATTCTACTCCCAATTTAACACTTGATGTGTCTCGTTTTTCTTTTTCGGGTTCTTGTTTTGAATTTAACCATCTTAAACGACTATCGTTCGTCTCAGCCATCATCCTTAAACGGATGGTCGAGATGTAATAATGGGCGGGAGGGAAGGACGGTCGATCTATGAGCCCACCGGTGAATTGGGTAACAACAGGCGCCTGTCTCAAAGGTAAGAGCGTGGGTGATAACGCACTACGTGTCAACGGTTCGATTTGTCTTTCATGATCCAACGGCTAAGAGCGTCAGTTATGGTCAGCACTCGCAGCTGCGAAGACGAAACCCAAGTCTCCGCCCACCGTCGGGCGCACTCAAGTTCCACGACCAAGTGCTGGGGTCCGCTTTCCAATCCTTTGCGTGGTCATCTCGCATGGGTCCTTTTCGCCCGGTATTGCTTGACGGGTTACATTTCCCCGTGATGGATGGGTCACTACCGCAGCCAACCACTCCAGCTTTTGCCCACAAAGTCCACCCTCTCCGACATCAACATGAGATACTACTTTCACCCAATTGAAGACGATCGATAAAATAATATGAAGGGGCAATCTTGGCAACAACTCACAGTCAATGCTACAGCTCCCCTCCTGTCTTACCGGCGTAAATATGCTTTGTTCCTAATTTCCTTTTGTCCTTCGGAAAACTCGCACGACAAAAGTCCACCAAAACCATGGAAGAAGAGAGGCGCCTGTCTGCACCCGTTTATCTCACCCAATTTCTGACCCACACTCCGCGGTTGCACCAAGCGGTGGTCCCACGGACGCAGACCATATCATCTCTAATGGAGTAAACGAGTAACACAGATGGGTACAGATAATACTCCTTCCTTCTTTTCGACCGAGATCTAGCGTGACGGCCCGAGTTACCTGTGACGTGTCACAATCTTTATGGATAGATGGCTGTGGGCTCAGTCGGCGCACGACATGGATGTCTCCAAGGGAATATAAACGTTTCTGATTTCGATCCCATCACGAAGAAAAAGTAATCGATCACAGCCGTCGGATGGGTCACCTTTGACTTCAATAATAGAGGTCCTCTTCCACTTCGTCGTTATAAGACAACCTCCTTGTTCCTCTTTCTCCGCCCTCGCCACTTCGGCCTCTTCACTTTCCCATGCTCTCTTGACAGGGTTCCGATCTGGGAACGATGGCCGTTGATCTGATGGGGTACGCCAAGATGGACGACCAAATCGCCATCCAAGAGGCGGCAGCCGCCGGGATCCGCTCCATGGAGCACCTCATCAGCCGTCTCTCCCAGCAGCAGCAGCTGGACTGCCGCGATATCACCGACCACGCCGTCTCCAAGTTCAAGAAAGTCATATCGATTCTCAACCGCACCGGCCACGCCCGCTTCCGCCGCAGCCCCACGGCGCCGCCACCTGCGGAGCCGTCGGTCGAGCCGTCGCTCCCCGAAGCAGCGAAGACCCTGACCCTCGCCCCGATCCCGCTCCGGGTAAAGCCTCCCCACCATCCTCTGCCGCCACCTTCCCGACCGTTGACACTGGACTTCACCGAGCCGGTCGCCACCTGCGAGGTGTCGGCACCGAGCCGGTTCAGCAAGGAGTGCTTCAGCATCTCGAAGCCGATGTCTTCGGCGACATCCTCGTTCATGTCGTCCGTCACCGGCGACGGCAGCGTGTCGAACGGCAGGCCAGGCGCCTCATCCTTCCTCCTCCCCCCGCCTGCGGCGGCCGTATCCGCCGGAAAGCCTCCATTCTCGTCCACAATCAGTCGGCGGTGCCACGAGCACGGCCACACCAACTCCGAGCACGTCGCCGGCAAGTACGCCATCCCCGGCTCTCGCTGCCACTGCTCCAAGAGAAGGTGCGAGATGCAAGGAAGCAAATTAGCAAGCCGTGATCTTTGATTAGCGCGCTCTACGAAACCTACGCCGTAGCTTTGCATCTAACTAGACTCGTATACAAAACAGGAAATCACGGGTGAAGCGGACGATACGCGTGCCGGCAATAAGCTCGAAGCTGGCCGACATCCCGCCGGACGAGTACTCGTGGCGCAAGTACGGACAGAAACCGATCAAGGGATCTCCATATCCCAGGTACCTACGCCCCTTCCTTCCCCTCCTATGCCCGTCCGATTTCCATCGAACGGCTGCAGTTCGATCTAACCCCCGTTCCTCACACCGTGGTCGTCTCAGGGGTTACTACAAGTGCAGCACGCTGCGTGGATGCCCGGCGAGGAAGCACGTGGAGCGGGCGCCGGACGACCCCACGATGCTGATCGTCACGTACGAGGGCGAGCACCGCCACACTCCGAGCGCCGCCACCGTCGCGGCGCCCGAGCCCGTCACCGCCTCCGCCTCCGCCATCTGAGGGCGCCGATCATCTTCTTCAGGCTTCCATGTAGCCATATCCCCTTTCTTTTTCCCTCTCTGTGTGGACCGAAGAGATGCGCCGATGATATCTGTCAAAATGTTTCATTTTTTTTACGTTGGCAAAGAAAAAAAAAAAGGAGGAAATTTTGACTCGATGGGGTACGGTGTGTCATCGGGGCAAGTGAAGCCTTTTGTCGTGTCGGGGTTGGTTGTGAGTCGGATTGGAGATGGGTTTGAGATCCGGGCGTGTCGTCGCCTTTGCCTCCGGAGACGTGTCAGTAAAGTCAAAAGATGCGGCCCGCTACTGTCGTTGACTGGTGTCAGCTGTGAAAGCGACGTGAGACCAGCATCTCTTTCTTCATCCGTGTGAGATGTGCGAGACCGGAAGTGGGTGTAGGATCCACAATTACGAATTCGGTAGCTGGACTTCATGGTGGCGGGTCAACCATCTTGTGGTCATCATCGATCAACATAAATGGGTTCATACGGCCACTGTTACAATGCTTTTGACTAGGAGTGCAATCTCTGTAGGGTCTCTATGTGGATTTAACTGTCCCTTGCAATCGACGTTGAGCATTTTGACTTTGTGTTCATGAGCGTCCAACTTGGCTGATTCTTATTGGTCGTTCGGCAGTCAACAACTTCTTCCGCGCTTAAAGCCGTATATTAATTCCAGTGGGTGGAGGTTGGCGGCAAGATGATGAACCCTATTCCTACGCCAGTAACTTTAGAGATCAATTCGAATAGAAATAGTTGACAGAAGGAGGGATGGATCATCCACGGAATCGTGTCCCGTGGTCAAAATTAGCTGGCTTGTGATTTTGACCTTGCGCCCGCCGTATCACCAATCTATATGTAATGGTTCTCTCAGGCGTGGGTGGATATTACTGGTCATTCACTTGGGAGACCACTGACAGCGATGTCATTGACCGAAGGGCCTCGATTAATTCCGACCCAACTATGCATCGTTCTTATCTTCCCGGCAGTCGTCTGAAACATGCATCGAATCCCTGGCAGCGACGGAGTGCAAAGCATGGAAGAATCCATCGAACAAGCGAGAAGGGTGCACAAGTCAAGATCTAGGGTTTGACAAAGCTCACACACCTGGATGGAGATGGGGGCCCACTGCAGACGTCAATTTTCCTGTTGCTTGGTGGGCCCCCCCCCCTCACATGTTCTGCCTGTCTCCAAGTGTTTGGTCTCCAGTGAGGTTTGACCCCAAGGCTGTGTGTGATGATAATAGCACCGGGAAGGTTAGATCCTGGTCAACACTTGGAATCCATTTATGACCAGATTAGAGAAGCAAAACTTGCACAGAATGACTGCATTAAATTTACTGCTGCATAGGTTGGGCTCAGTTCATAAGAGTTATGATTCGATGAAGCCCATAAAGTATAAGTATCGGCAAAGATTACATAAACTATAAAGATCTAATCTTGTCAGTGACCTTGATGACTGCTCTACTAGAGGGAGAGGGAATCCATGGATACATGATGCGTCCATCTTTGTTGGGCCATCGATCTCAGGATCCATTGCTGCTCTGCTGGTAGCATGATGTGTGGAGCTCGGTCTTTCATGGTTCTACTGTGTATCTTCTTTTACTGTTCCTACTAATGTTGATGAGAATCCCAATGCTGATGTTGATTAGCTTAAATCAGATCTTTGCACGTATTACAAAGCCACCGTGCAATGCTTTATTTACGTTGTGGATATCCTGTGCACTTTCACCCTCCTAACCTACGTTCTCCATTGTTGACCTTTTAGAACATGGAGGAATACAAGTCACCGAAGAGGACAAGGAGTTCTTACTGTGGCTTGCCACATTACTTAGTTCTATAGGCTATAGCTGAGAATTACCTTATCCCATCAGATATTATCCTTGTGCAGACCTCAACAGAAGTGACAGAGAACCACCATCATCCTCATCCATTGCTCTTCAGTTGCCTCACAATGTCTACTCTCTTTTCGACTGATACACAGCTTCAAGAGCACTGCAGATGCATGCATGGAACAATAATACTTTTACCTACCGAAGAAGATAAGACCTGCTACCGTCAAAGCTTTAACCACATCATGTTTGGCAAACCTCACAATGGCTCCTCTACTGACTGATCAAATAGTTGCAGCAGATATCAGAGTTGAAGACTGTCAAGAGTTTTCCGAACCATCATGTGAGAAGGAGACACTCCAGATGCATGCATTATTAGAACAGTACATTTTTTTATGTAACCAAAGCTTTAGCTACATCATAATGAATGAATCTGCAAGTGATCCTAATAAAATAAAGACAGATAAATACTTTCCCAACACCCAGCATGGAGTATCTCTGTGCCAATGAGTCTATTAAGTTTGGGGTCTGTAGGACAACTACATTGCAGTGTGACCATTCTTGGCAGAACAATTGCTTTTGCTGGGCTTTGTGTCAGGGAAAAAAAAAAAAGTCTTGATACCAGATAATCTATAATAAATATGAATTATAAAAGCAAATATAAGATTCATGCTGGGGAGAGAAAAGATCATGAAATCAACATTTATCTTCTTTTTTAAAAGTTAATAACCTAACTAAATTATCTAAGCCTTTTGGTTATGAAGGAAAATTAAGAAAAAAAAAAAATATCTCTATACATTCTTCAAACAAATAATTTTACATTGTCCTAGTAATTTGATTATAATTGTTGTTGATCCATCTTCCTCATAATCCTACTAGCTATTTAGCAGGCAATTACATATTAAGATACCAAGTTCTCCGTGCAAAAATCGTCCAGATTCATTGCACATGCGTAGCTGGTACTCGCCCCAACGTGTAACGCACTTTGATGGGATGCATGCATGTATTTTTAATGAATCAGGTCGATATATACGTATAAATACATGCGGACGAGAGAAGACAGAAAAAAGGGGTTGGAGACGGAGCAGCGAATGTGTCAGAGGTTACAGTGAAGTGTTACAGGAGTTGTATTGACTCCGGTATAACTCGATGCTTATGTGTTGGGTGGTTCTGAGGTCGCGTCTCTGTCACCAACGGGGACACGTTTGCGTACGTGGTGGACTCCGACTCCTCCAACCTTATCCCTCCCCATCTTATTCAATCTCATCACACTCTCTCGTGATCTTTGGGGGTGTGTTTTCTGGCAGAGCAAGAGACAGGAAGACCTGCCGGTTGGACCATCGATCGATTGACAGCAGCGCCACCGGAGCTGGAGAGCAGGAGGTGTAAAGGAAGAACAGGAGCTGGAGGAGGAGGATGTCTTCTTTGGTGATCTCCAGCGTGGGGCTGAAGGACCACGTTAGTCTTCCCGCCTACCTCCATGCAGAGAAGAAGGAGGAGAAGGAGCAGACTCTGGTGGAGGTGGTGAGGAAGAGGACCTTATTCTGCCTGGAAGAGGAGGAGGAGGAGGAGAAGGAGGACTCCTCGGAGAGCTCTTCCATCGGGGCTGCGTCGTCCTCTTCCTCGGACAAGGAAGGTGAAGGAGTTGGGGAGGGAGAGGAGGTGGAGAGCAAGAAAGGCGAAGGGGCTTTCGGTTCCTTGGATACCCTGGAAGAGTCTCTTCCCATCAAGTACACATTTCTCTTTCGTTCCTCCGCTTTCCTCCTACAATCCATGCTGTTCATCATCATCTCTTAATGTTCTCTCGAATTGCAGGGGAGGGCTGTCAAATTTCTTCTCAGGGAAATCCAAATCATTTGCGAGCTTATCGGACGCAGCAGCCAACGCAAATGCCAACGAGCTCGCCAAGCCGGAAAACCCCTTAAACAAACGCAGGAGAATTCTCATGGCGTACAAGGCAAGAAGAGCTTCCTACGGATCGCTCATCTCTGCATCCACGTATCTGCCATCGCTCCCCTCATCAGACCACACCGTCCCTGAAGGCGACGAAGAGGAGGGCGAGAGATGCGGTGGAGACCTGCTCTCGGTGCCTCCCCTCCCTAGTCACGGCAATGCTTTCGGATCATCACCTAGGTGTTTTTCCCTTTCCGATCTCCGACATGTTTGACCAGTAGTACATGTATGCAATGAGCATCAAGCCGACGGTGAAGATAATAATTATATGATCGAAGGCAATCTAACCAAAGTTTAGCTGTAAGACAATGGGAGGCACGAGTGATATATCTTCTTCTCCTTCTTCTTCTCGAGTTATGGTCACTGTGTAAAGAGTTATGATAAGAGATAAGGTTTAGAGGTCATGAGGGACCACAGCAATGTGCATGGCGTGGTGGTCTTATCCTTTCCCACCTTACCAGCTAAGAGATATGCCTGCTTCGTACGCTTACCTGTTGCCATGCTTTGCTTGCCTCTCCCTGTTTCCAACGAGGAAGATGATGGGGTACGCTTCAAAGGAAGGAGATTCCCCATGAAAAGGAAGTCTCATCTTCTCATCCTAAAATAGTCTTTTCTTTCTTTCTTTTCCAGCTTCACCCTCTCTCTCTTTTTTCTTTTTTAATCGGGATGAGATCACTGCTGTGATCACAAGTAGGTTGAAGACATCATGCGTTTGATACAATGTTTATGATCTGACATACAGACAAGAACATAACATGGAGATGAAAAGATCTGCTTCATGTTTCGGTCTATGTTGTCCAAGCATTCTGCCCTAGGTCATAATATTGTGTAATCACACATGATAATGGAAAAGAAACAGATGAAAATTCTACAAACTAGGAAATTTTGTGGATGGTCAATTTGGAGACAAGTGGATTTAGGGTTGGACGAAAGCCAAACAATATAGTTTAGTCACCCACCAAGAATTAGAAAGGTTGGTGGCAGTCAGATTTGTTGCTCGGTTAGGAGACAGACAGTTGGTAAGAGATGACTTATGGTAAGCTCTAAATTATTTCAAGTTGAAATGATAGCAATGGCAGATGCTAAACACAGTATCAGATTAGTAGGACTCAATGCTGTAAAACAATTAAGTAATAGCAAGTGAAATGATAGAGAAAATATTTTGTAGATCCTCAAGCAGGATACCTACCTGACAAAAATGCCTTATGCTCATCATAGCAACCAGAGGAAACCATTAGAAACTTGTTTGGATTCTTCTTTCAGATAACCCAACACAAAAGGAAGATTAGAATTCTGGAGCAGATGCAACTTGAAAAAGAGGTTCACCGGCTACGATTCATAATTGAGCGACACGAAAAAGGTGAAACAAACACACATGGTTGCAATCAACAAAAGACTAAATGTTGATGAGTAAAAGGTCAGTTGAAGACAAAATAACAAGCAATAGACATGAGTTGCAGGAGTCATACTGTTATCTGCACTGCAGTTCTGCTAAGTACAATTGAGAAGAAAACTGTCAAAATTATTGCATTCAGTGGACCATATCATAGGAGCAGAGGTCGAAAGCATTCAAATTAACTATTTTCTTGTGTGAATGAGAAGTTATATATATCACAAATTGTTATGTTATTTGCAGGATTCCTAGTCCATCAGAAGAATATGTTGTATGTATCTATGTATGTATATCTCACAAATTGTTATGTTATTTGCAGGATACCTATTCCCTCAAGAAGAATATGCAGGAATGAAAATTCACAGATGGGGAGAAACATAGAAACCATCTGCAAAAGCAGATCTGTTCAAC